AAGGTGGTTAATGCCTCAGAGGAGCCCCCTCAGTGCCTTACAGAATCAAACTCCTTGTGTTCAGATTTTTCCCTTTTTCTTCCTTGTGTTCAGTTCATTTTATCTTTGTTGTTAAAGCTGTTTCATATATACATTGGAAAAAGGCAAAAAAAAAATTTAAAATAGCCATGCTCATATCTATGGTGTCTGTTTCAGACCTCAGATTTTCATGTGATTAATATATGTATTTCCCCTGATGTATTGCACTGTCCTCAACCTAGTTAAACAATTAATAAATGTATTTCTTGCATATAAAAATGTCAATTGCAAGTGAAGAATTCCTCCATTAGATGGAAAGTTTCACTTTCTAAAACATTAATAGAACAGATACAAAAGGGGTGGGGCAAGACATGATTTTCAACTGAATTCTAACACTGTAATTTACACTCCGAGATCTGATGTGCTTTCTAAACTTCTGAAGTTGTTGACCTCTTGCAATTCACAGTATCAATAGAACCCCCAAGATAATTTTATCCTTATGTTCAAACACAACTCCCTGTTTCGTACTCAAGTATTCTATCCTCTGTATTGCTACAACTACTTTAGCACAATTTTTATGGCTATTCATGAAAAACTATTTAACCAATTTCCATGTGCTTCTAATTACCCAAGAGAAACACTGAACCTATGAAGTTCTGCAATTCATTGGATTTTTTTCCTTCCCCTCCTGTCACTGTTTAAGTGATTCCTAGTGATGCTCACCTAGTTGCTATGCAATATAAGAAGGGAATAGATTGTTATAACACAATCATTCTAGCATTGAAATTAGGACTATTGCGCACTGAAAAAAATTAATCGCATGCAATTAATCGCGCTGTTAATAGAATACCATTTATTTTAAAACGTGATGTTTTCTACATTTTCAAATATATTGATTTCAATTACAACACAGAATACAAAGTGTACAGTGTTCACTTCATATTTATTTTTGATTACAAATATTTGCACTGTAAAAAACAAAAGAAATGGTATTTTTCAATTCACCTAATACAAGTATGGTAGTGCAATCTCTTTATCATGAAAGTTTAACTTACAAATGTAGAATTATGTACAAAAAATCCTGCATTCAAAAATAAAACAATGTAAAACTTTAGAGCCTACAAGTCCAATCAGTCCTACTTCTTTTTCAGCCAATCGCTCAGACAAACAAGTTTGTTTATATTTGCAGAAGATAAATGCTGTCTGCTTCTTGTTTACAATGTCACCTAACATTGAGAACTGGTATTTGCATGGCACTGTTGTAGCCGGTGTCACAAGATATTTACATGCCAGATGCGCTAAAGATTCATATGTCCTTTGATGCTTCAACCACCATTCCCGGGGACATGCATCCATGCTGATGACGGGTTCTGCTTGATAATGATCCAAAGCAGTGCAGACCAACACATGTTCATTTTTATCATCTGAGTCAGATGCCATCGGAAGAAGATTAATTTTCGTTTATGGTGGTTTGGGCTCTGTAGTTTCCGCATCAGAGTGTTGCTCTTTTAAGACTTCTGAAAGCATGCTCCATACCTCACCCCTCTCAGATTTTTGGAAGGCACTGCACATTCTTAAAGCTTGGGTTGAGTGCTGTAGCTATCTTTAGAAATTTCACATTGGTATCTTCTTTGCATTTTGTCAAATTTGCAGTGAAAGTGTTCTTAAAACAAACAACATGTGCTGGGTCATCATCCAAGACTGCTATAACATGAAATATATGGCAGAATGCAGGTAAAACAGAGCAGGAGACATACAATGTTCCCCCAAGGAGTTCAGTCACAAATTTAATTAACGCCTTATTTTTTAACGAGTGTTATCAGCATGGAAACATGTCCTCTGGAAAAATGGCCAAAGCATGAAGAGGCATATGAATCTTTAGTACATCTGGCAATATCTTGCAACGACGCCAGCTACAACAGTGCCATACAAATGCCTGTTCTCACTTTCAGGTGACATTGTAATTAAGAAGCGGGCAGCATTATCTCCTGTAAATGTAAACAGACTTGTTTCTCTTAGCGATTGACTGAACAAGAATTAGGACTGATTGGACTTGTAGGCACTAAAGTTTTACATTGTTTTATTTTTGAATGCAGGATTTTTTTGTAGGGATAGGGAATAGTTATGAAGTTCAGATTTTGATCTGAACTTTCCCAATGTTTTGGGAGTATTTGGATTATGATGTAAGCAGAACAGAACCTCACTCATACTTGCATAGCTGTACTGGCATGATGGGATTAACATCTGCTGCAATGGGGAAGAGGATAAAACGGTGTCCACCCCTCCCCCAGCACCCCTCCAGAATTGTCCAACAGAGACCCTGCTAGAGTCTGGGTGCACTGGGATCTAGGTGATCCCCCAGGCCATGTGGGGATAGGGGGTGTGAAATCTGCAGAGAGGAGCCAGCCAGTAGCAATAGATGAAGCCAAAGCAAGGATTGCTACCCTGGGGCGGGGGGAGTGCGTATAGTGGAGCCCAACCGGGGTCATCCCTCCCGTCAACATCTTCTTAGTCCGGTGGCACAAGGACCCAGATGGTGCCTCCACTCCCACCCCATGGCGTGATGGAGAGCTGTAGAGAGTAGCCAACCAGAGACTCCAGCCAGTAGGAACAGGAGCAGCCAAACAGTACAAAGTGCTCTGATTTTCTCTGCCCTCTGCTGATTGGCTGTTTGCTCCAGCCCTCCCTTCCTCCCCCTTCCTCAGGCTCTTCATCTCAGCTTCACTCCACACCTGCCCCACCTTACCCTCTTCTCCTCTGCCCTGTCCCTCTCACCCTCCTTGCCCTCCCTTTTCTTTTCATTTAGCTGATCCCTCCCCAAGTATCACCCCATCCCTCAAAATGGTGGACCTAACATGACAGTTGCTGCCATCCCATTGTTCACTCTGCTTGTGTGTCCTACCCCTTCCCCACCCTGTGTCTATCTTGTCTTATTAGACAATATTGTTTCATTGTTTCTTTATGCTCCCCCATCTACCTGTATCCAGCTGTTGGCTCTTGGCTTATACTTAGATTGCAAGCTTTTGGGGCAGGGACTGTCTTTTTCTTGTGTGTTTGTACAGCACCTAGCACGGTGGGATCCTGGTCCATGCCTGGAGCTCCTAGGCACTACATTAAAAGAAATAAATAATAACAGGAGCAAACTCTCACTTTTTTGTTAGTCTAGTAAATGGATATAATGGGCCAAATTCAGTCCTAGTGTCAGTAAAATGAAACCCTACTTCAGTGATTCTCAAAGCTGGTCCGCCGCTTGTCCGCTGCAGTTCGCCGCTCCAGGCCAATGGGGGCTGCGGGAAGGGCGACCAGCGCATCCCTCGGCCCGCGCCACTTCCTGCAGCCCCCATTGGCCTGGAGCAGCGAACTGCGGCCAGTGGGAGCCGCGATCGGCCAAACCTGCGGACGCGGCAGGTAAACAAACTGGCCCAGCTCGCCAGGGACTTTCCCTGAACAAGCGGTGGACCGGCTTTGAGAACCACTGCCCTACTTGTTTCAGTAAAGTTAGAGTAGTTTACATAGAGGTTGAGGGTATTTTTTTACAGCAGGATAAATAACAAGGGTTAGCTAGTTCTCTGCAAAAATCCTAGTGGAGACAAGAGACTCATTTTTACTTCAAGCAACCTTAGGTCAACCACAGGTGGGAGGTAAAATGTTGACCTAACTACATCACGGTAAAACTACCTGTGCCTTTCCACTAGGATTATACAGCAAGACAGCTAGCCTGCATTCGTTATCCCACGATTTAAAAAAAAAACTTTTTTGGTGAAGACATTTGGCTTAATGCCTCTAAAAGTTCTAATAAGAAATACTGAGTCAGTGTTGAGATTATAAACCTGACTGGGCTTGCATTCAAGGTGATGGGATTTTTGTCACTGGTTTCAGTGTGAACAGGATCAGACTGTAACTGCATATTAATAAGAATCTGTGCAAAGTATCAGGACCATGGGATCAGGCCTGCAATCAGGGGTGAAAGTAAGCCGGTATGGGCTGGTAGGGCGTACTGGTAAAAAGTGGCCGCCAGTACTGGCCCATAGTCAGCTGACGTTAAAGTGCTGCTGTGGCAGCGCTTTAAGGACCCTGCTTAAAGCGCTGCCGTGGTAGCGCTTTAACATCATCGCCCCTTTTGCCCCCCCGCCCCAGGCCGCTGCTGGGGGTGGAAAAAGGGGCAGCTTCCCCGGGGCCGCAATTTAAAAGGGCCTGGGGCTCCGGCCGCCGCTACCACAGCAGTAGCCAGACCCCCGGGCCCTTTAAATCGCCGCTGGAGCCCCGGGCAGCGCGTGCCAGGCAATGCGGATGGGCTGGCTGGGGAATGCTGACCCCCCCAGCCCTGCCCCTTCCGCCCGAGGCCCCGTCCCTTCCAGGGGCCGGAGCGGCTCCCATACCAGTAAGTATTGAATGTTACTTTCACCCCTGCCTGCAATTGGCAAAAATACAGTAATCTTTTCCTTTTCTTTATACCTAGTATCTTTAGCTCTCATAAATCTACAGTTGTTTTGGAACCTTTCTGCAAACTCTTGTGTCTATAAATGTGAGCCAAATTCTGCACTGATTTACATACCTTGCCTCCTATACAAGTAGGAGCTTTTTTTTTTTTCCCCCACTGCAAACTGGAAGAAATTGAAACCCCATGTAAGATGTTTTTAAAAAATATATAGGAAAAATCACAAACAGCAGCTCAATTATATTCATTTTTCTACAAAATACCCTTAGGGTATGGACAATTAAGTCATAACATTCCAGCTGAAATTCAGACTGATGACAAATGGAAAATTTAAAATCTCTCTCAATGGCCTCTCTAATATTTATAACAAGCTCATCTCTAGTGTTTTCTAATTCCAGACCTTCCTTAAGCAGGCAATATTTTGTTATACATGTTATTTAAAATAGTATTTCAATGCTTTAGCTATGCATTTCCATTAATATTTTCACTAACTGGAAATTCACTCTTTCAGTAACTGGAAATTAATTTCTTTTGCTTATTTCAGGTCCTAAATCTACTGAACAGAAACCTGGAGTGCAGTTAGTCATATCTTATGAGCGCACCCACCTGACAATATTGTTGAAACATATGAGGAATATTGTAAGTCCTTTTATTATAACTGAGCTCTAACCTAAGATTTTATGTTAGCAGAGTGCTGTGCTAACATTAATCCTCACAATGTCCTTTGCAGATAAATACATTTTACAGAAGGTTGTGTGACGGTGCTTTTCATTTAACATATGTGATCTCTTTCAACCAGGTTTGAAGCCAGGGTGTGGTACAGAAACTAACACCATTAGTGTCATGGCCAGTGATGATCTCCTACTGGCAATGCACAAAAGATTAGGTGTCCATAATGGCTCTTCGAGCTGCTTTAGATAGTACTGATTCTGAGTTGTTGTCGACTCCTGCCAGGAGTGGATGGAGTCACATGACAGGGGCTCTGTCCCTTTCTTGGTAAAGTCCTAGCTGGAGAGTACTTGCTTATCTACCCCTAGAGTTCTTTCATGTGGGATTGTACAGGTATGTCAGCTCTCCTGTTCAACATATATGTGAAGTTCAGGAACATCATTTGCTATTGGACAAGGGGGCAGAGTGCCCCCCGGACTTTTCATAAGTCTATGTGCTCCATTCCCCTCCTCCCCCAAATTATAATCACATATAACCTTCTACATGCTGACAAAACTCTCCCCTCCGCCTCTCCCCACCATTGTTTCTCAAGTGACTCCCTTGGTGAAGATGCTAGAGGAAATACTGAGGTGGGTTAGGCTGCAATGTCATTGGTATGATGACAATGCTCAGCTCTACTCTCAGCAGACCTAGATGGTAAAATTATCTGCTTTCCTGTAGTCTGGCTGTGATAGGACTGGCAAGGCTCAGTTCAGTCAAGACTCAGGTGATGCTGGTTGGCTTAGGGGATCTTGTGAGGGCAATATGCATTAACTCGGCTAAAGTGGTATGTCTGCTCTTTGATATTAACAGCCTCTACAGGCTCTGGAATCCCCAACTGCTCTTTTCAGTCTCAGGTAATGGCAGTGGCTAGAAGACCCTTTCATTACCTTTGTTTAACTAGGAGATTGTGACATTTCTTCCATGCCAATGACCCAACTGTGTTCATTCATGCCTTTTTCACCTCCAGATTAGCTTACTATCACTCGCTCTAAATGGGACTCAGCCAAGCATCAGCCAACACAAAATGAGACTGGTTGGCTGTATGAGTCATGTGAAGCCTACATATCCCCAACTATTCTCTATAGACTCCCCAGGCTTCTGATTTGCAATTCAGTGTATTCATTTTGATCTATAAAGTCCTAAAAGATTTGGGTCCTGAGAGACTGTCTTTCTCTTTCCATGCACCATCCTGAGAGTTGAGATTTCACAGGATACATCTGCTGATAGGTCCTATTTATATGAACGTCCTAGACTATAGAAGACGTTTCCTGTGTTATTCAGATGGAGCCCGTGCTTTTTACCTTTGGGGTACAGTATAAGGCCCTTTGGGGAGGGGAGCATCTCCTTCAGGCTGAGTAGCTGGTGAAGCTTGTGGAGGGAATTTTGGTCAGAACATTATGCTCTTAGTGTTACTGTGTGTATTGTATTTTTTTCCACTGTACTTATGCTGAGAGGCTCCATGATATATATATGTGTGTGTGTTATAAATCTGTGGTTGGGTAGGTGGTACATCTTATAAATCTGTGGTTGTATAGAATGCATACTTGTATGTGTCAGATGTGGGAAAGTATAGTGGTAGTATGCAGTTTATAAGTGTAAGTTTTTCTGATGAATTTGCATGGATGGTTTGCAGATGTACAGGGGCAGCTTTAAGATGATCAGAGGTGGCTTAACTCTGTGTGTCTATACTTTCAAATGTTTAGGCTTTTTAATGTATAATTAACTTAAAATGTCCTGGCCCTTGTAACTCTACAAAGTTCCATTTAAATTAGACCTTAGATGGGCCTGAGCAGCCATACTCAAGTGTTCCTGGACCAAGGGTTTGGTGACCTAGAAGTTCTTTATCATGTTAATAATCTCTTCAGCCAGCCAATCCCCTAGATCAATCTGTCTGCCTGTCTCTTTGGGGGTTGAACAAGGATTAAAAAGTATTCCAAGTTTATATTTTATTCAACACATATTAAATCCATTTCAGTTCTATTCAGTCTTTTTCAGTGTCTTACTAATTATAATATTTTTAGTGGTTCATCTGTACAGAAATTAATTTGCCACCTTGTTTTATTTCAAAATTTATAGGAAATAGTTTTTGCACTGGTTCCCTCCTCCTTTAATTTATCCTTTAAAATAGAGTATGATGCTTTCAAATGTTTAAATAATTGTATTAGGCCAAATTCATTCTTGGTGTAACTTCATTGAAGTCACTGGAGTTTCAGTAGATGAATTTGAATCACTGAAGGAAACATTAATTATTATTTGTATTGTGGCAGATCCTCGAAGCTTCATTCAGGGATCAGGGCCACGTTGTGCTAGGTCCTGTACACACACAAAATAAACAAGGTAGTCCTGCCCCAAAGAGCTTATAGTCTAACTATATGATCAGAGACAACAGGGGGAGAAAAACAAATGGGTTGTGAAAGAACAAGGTACCTGTGAAACTACCATGTTTATAGCCATTGTCAAGTGTTGTGTGGGCTTCATGGCAGAGGTGGGCTTTGCAGCTTTTTACAAGGAGCTTCTCCCAGGCATATGGGGTGGCACAGGAGAAAGCAGAGAAGTGTTTAAGGGGCAGTTGGTCTGGTTTGTGGAAGGCTGGTTTTGTTAGCAGAGGTCAGGATTGACAGCTCTATAACTATATAATTTCAGTCCATGATGCATTATTTACCCACTTTTTGTAATACCTAGAAAGAAGGTTGGAGAAATAAAAGCATGTGTCTGATGTCCAATCTCTGATCTTAGGTCTGCTTCAAGATGTACCTGTTTCTCCCTAAAACAGGAAATATTTCAATCATCAGTGAAAGAAGTCCTGCCTGAAAACAGTCTATTGAAATATACTTTGAAGAATAAGTACAGAGTGAACTTGTTTAATAGATTTAAGGCTAGAAGGGACCATTAATCTCTGCTAAGCTCCTGCTTTATCCAGGCCATAGTTTCACCAAGGGAATTCCTGCATCTTCCCCAACAACTTGACTAATAAGACAATTTGAGCAGCAATGCATGCAGAGAGTTGTAGAATTAGTTGCAAAGGCTTGTGCACATTTCAGCTTAAACACTATGGATAGACAATGAGAGAGAAGTTCTGTTAAACTAGTGTTGACTGACACATTTAACAGCGCTGCCAACTCTCATGATTTTATTGAAAGTCTCATGATCATTTGTGTTTTTCTTGAATCCCTAGTATCATGTGAATACACCAGATTCTCAGCTTTCAATAATTAAAAAAGTAAGTTTATAGCCATCATGGTAGCCAAGAAAAGCTTGAAAACAAGACCCCTAAGGGTGTGAAAGCCAGAAGATCCATGAAGAGTCAAAATATTTTATTTTTGAAATCTCATGATTTTGTAAACCAATGATGATTTTTTGGGCCCTGACTCGTGATATTTGAATGCTTCGAGTTGGCGATACTATATTAGTGCAGAGATGCAGTGAAGTTGGAAGGCTATAAACAAAGAGGTAAGCCTTGGCAGAGGGAAGGAAACTAGAGAAGGGGATTGGGGAGTAGTGGGGAAGAGAGTGAGGGAGAAAGATAGATAGAGATTGCCTCAGAGAGAGGGTAGGGCAGCATGGCAACAACTGACAGAGTTCCTGACGCTGGAGAGGGAGACATAGGGCTTGTCTCCACACACCGGTGGATCGACGCTGCGACGATCAATCCACCGGGGGTCGATTTAGCGGGTCTAGTGAAGACCCGCTAAATTGACCACAGATCGCTCTCCCGTCAACTCCGGTACTCCACCGGAACAAGAAGAGTAAGGGGAGTGTCGACATTGCATAGTGTGGACCCTGCGGTAAGTAGATCTAAGCTATGTCGACTTGAGTTACGCTACTAATGTAACTCAAATTGCGTAGCTTAGATCAACTTTCCCCCATAGTGTAGACCTGCCCATAGGGTTCAGGGAGA